TTCAGCAAAGTCTCCCAAGTAAAACGGTAACCCCATGTACAGGTTTTATGTTGTATTAGAAAGTTACAGGGATAAATATAGGGCTTGCGAGCCAAATTCTCTGGACTTTCAGCCTGGGTTGTCAGGCAGGTCCCTCAAATTGCAATTACTAAAATGATTTGATTATGTAAAAATATTATATAAATATATTTATAGATTTTAAATATATATGTGTGTGTATACATATATATAAAATATATTTTTATTATTATTTATATATAAAATGTATTATTTATATATATATGTGTTATCAACAGCTATGAAACACAACTTAGGAAAAGATGCATAGCCAGTAAACCACTCATGGACGGCTGTTTCATTGTTAATGCAAATCATCAGCATGAGGTTGGGTACTGGTTTACTTATTAAGGCTTGGTAGTGCTTGGGAAGCAAAATACAAAGAATCACATTTTTGCCTCATTCCATTTTAAACATGGATTCCTTTGACTGGCTTTGCATCTTTTCCTAAGTTGTGTTTCAAAGCTGCTGTATACAGCAAACACAGACTCAAAGGAATCCATGTTTAAAATGGAATGAGGCAAAAATGTGATTCTTTGTTAAACTAATTTGCATATGCCCACCCGGAATCCTTTGCGGTAATAACATCACTGCAGATTTGTGATTTCTGTGGGAAAAGCAAGTTCTTGACTGGTGTGCAGACTTCAGGTGGAAGGGGTTTTCAATCACAATTTTTTCCCACCATAAGCTATTTGGATATATATATATACACACACACACACACACACACATTTTTCTTCCTGTCCCTAGAGTGCTACTTTAAATGTAGGTGTTTACTTGTAATTATTTGCTTTTTCACAGAAAATGAAATAGTTGCCCAAGTATGATTTTTATTAACCATTATCTCTTTTGTACACTTGGTCTTTGTTAAATTATTTTAAAATATTTGGAATAAAAGGCAAATAGCCAATATTTACAACTTGAACTATGCACATAGGAATATTTAAGTTTTTTTTTTTTTCACTTTTGGAGAGTTTTTTTTAATGCTTGTAAGCTATGTCTGGTTACATATATAGAACAGCCTCTGCAAGATGTATTTAATTGCAATTTATTAAATTAATATTGTTTATTAAAGTAAATTTGCAAGTCAAAGGTACACAATTTTATTTGGGTAAAATGATGGCATACATTTGTTGTCAAGATCAATCAAATTACGCTACATTTTAAAAACTTACAAATATAACTGATACCCATCATCTTAACTTGTATTTAAGAATATTTGTATTCAAAAGAGGAAAACACAGTAACACCAAAATAAATTGTACGTGAGTACAACCATTATTAAATAAAGGAGAGATGTATTACTTTTTCACAGCTCCCTCGGATCATATCTCAGTCACAATAAAATTCCAAATGACAAACAAGGGGATCATAGAAAATTAAATGAGCACTCGGCAGCAGGCTTTTCAAAACACCTCTCCAATGCCATGTGTTCTGCACAATGTTTATTACTCCAATATCAGAGTTACTGATTCATTGAAAATGAAAGGAACACACCACTGATTTTTTTAAAGTAATTTAGCACATATACCCACAAAAAAAAAAAGAGAAAGGGGGAAGACACCGGCTAGTGCAACACGATCGTGATGACGTTGCAATCACATGGCTGGAATAGCTGGCTTCAGCTGTTCCTGCAGTGCCAAGCCTGAAAAATAAAGTTTACAAAAATATTTTAAACAGTAAAAACATTACTGAAAAGTACATATATACATAATACAGACACTCTTTACTTACCGACTGGGTTCCGTTCCTATGATTCCGTTGTAGAACTAATTGGTCGGTAAGTGAGGAGTTAAGGGATTCCCTGCTCTGGTGCATTCGTCTATGTTCGGGGAAGCTTCCCCAAACATAGACATGCACACCAGAGCAGGGAATCCCCTCGACGGCTTGCACTTACGCTTGGTCGTTTTGCGAGCTGTCGTAAAACAGGTAGGTCGCTAAATGAGGACCACCTGTATATAAAATAAATATACTCAATAAATAAAAAGAAAATATCTAAAAAAAAAAAAAAATTAAAAAAATATATATTTATATGTGTAAATTTTGTATTAACTGTATTTTGATATTAACATTATTTAAATAATTTAATTTGCAAACCCTATATTTAACCCTGTAACTTTCCAAGACACCATAAAATCTGTACATAGGGGGTACGGTTTTACTCGGGAGACTTCGCTGAACACAGATTTTAGTGCTTCAAGCCAGTGAAACATATCACAACTATAATATTGTTAAGTGCCATTTGTGTGTTAAAAATGCAAAAAAACATATATGAATGCTAATTTGGCCAGTGTTTGTGACTAAGTGGCTGCTAAAAAAGACTGGACATACTCCATATTGAATACCCTGAGTTATCTACTTTTGAAATGTTAGGCCATGATGGGGTTAATTTTCATTCCTGGGCTGGCATGTGGTCTCAAAGGCAACATAGGCCAGCAAACCAATCTGGCAAACTGCAATGAGCAAGCCCTATATTGACCTTGTAACTTTCCAAAGCATCATAAAACCTGTACATGGGGTGTACTGTTTTACTTGTGAGAGATTACTGAATAGAAATATTAGTGTTTTAAAACATTAAACTATATCATGACAATTACATTATAAATGAATGTGCAGTTTTTGTGTGAAAAATGCAAGAAACAAATATGAATGCTAACTTTGACCAGTGTTTGTGACTAAGTGGCTACTATAAAAGATAGGACATACCTCATTTGCAATACCCTGGGTTGTCTACTTTTGTAAATGGTATGCCATGATAGCTGTAATTCTCATTCCTGGCTGACATATCGTCTTAAAAGCAACATAACCAATCTGGCAAATTTCAATGTTAATAAACTGAAAAAGTAAAGTGCTATATTTGAACCTGTAATTTTAATACCCATAAAAATCTGTACATGGGGGTGCTGTAGTACTGTTTTTTTACTCCATTGATAAAGCCTATTGGTGAAACATTTTTGATGTATTTAATTTGTATTTTAATATTAATAAATAGATTTTAGTCACTATGTGTATTATCTGTGTCATTATCTTTTTATATATATTTTTTAAATATTGACCTTCTTCATACTATCTGGCATTAAATCATCTCTACCCCAAAGAATTCCAGGTGGGGATCATACCACTGATGCTGTTGTCAAAGAGCAGTTAGCCTATTCTGCCTTTGTGAGTATATTTAATTACATCTTACTGACTATTTGTATTTTATTGAGAGCACTATCATTGTCTTTTTTTTTAAATCTATTTCTGGGTTCCCCATACCATCACCCTTTAAGAACACTCACATCATATTCTTTAAGTGGGGATTAACTTCATTATTTTATAATTTTACTCACTGAAATGAACATATTGCACTATTAGTTTCTCTGTCTTTTGAGCGCCCCTTCCTATATATAGGAACATCTGAGAAGCACAAAGACTCCCAACTTCTGGTTCTAAAGACCCACGTGGTATCCAAGTATTTTACAAAAGACTTTCTTAAATCTGGGACTATCTGGAAATCTTAAATCTGCGAAGTTGTATACTTGCATTTTTATTGATATGTTGTGTTCCAGTGGCGCAGTCCTAATTTGATTTTATACTATTATCTTGTGAGGCATTGCTCAATACAAAAATGTGTATTTTATTACAGTAAATGCTAACAGTATTATGACATTCACCAGGGCCGGTACAAGGAATTTTGTGTACACAGGCGAAAGAGCATTTTGCTGCCCCCCACCCCATACATTTTTCTTGCAGTTTCTAAAATGTTTTAGAGGTGTGACAAAACATTAGTTTTTAAAGATATTTAGATAGATAAGATAGATACACACAAACACACTTTTTATTTTAATTTTTTAAAGAGACAAAGCCATTTGACAGCCACTAGAGATGTCCTTAGAAGCAAATGTAAACTCTGCCTTTTCTTATGAAAGGCAATATTTACATTTCTCAGACTGCAGGGACAAGCTCTTTTCACCAAAACCACTCCATTACGTTATAGTTATGTTATATATTTAACATGTGTTTCTTTTGTTTGTTTTTTTTAGAGAAAAATAAGAACAAATTTGTGTTTTTTTAAAGTGTATTTTATTAACATTTCTACAACAAAACAAAAACAAAAATAAATAACAATGCATTCAAGTGCATGTAAACTGCAGTAACTATTACTCAAACTGCATGACGTAGTGCAATTAGTATCAAGGTGCTTTAAAATTAACATATATAATTACTATAAAAACTTTTAAATAATGAATAAAACTGTACGCTGTAGGTTTCTGCAAGTGCAAATTCACCTAAAGTGTAAAGTACTTTAACGGATATTGCACACAAAGTGAGAATGGTAGCCTACAAAAACTTAACCCTTCTTGCTTTCGCATTTACAAAATCATGAAGCAGAGTTTTAAAGTCAATCTCTTTTGCAATCTGATTTTCAATGGAAATCATTGCAAGTCCCACCAATCTCTCTTGAGACATAGAGGACCGAAGATAATTCTTTATTAACTAATGCTTTGAAAAGCTTCGCTCCCCAGAGGCTACAGATATCAGCAATGTCAACAATATGCGAAGGGCAATAGACACGTTGGGAGCAAAGCCATTTTTAAGTGCATACGCTAGAATCTGACTGGGTGTCATTGTAGGCCTCAAGATAGGAGCCAATATTGTAAGTTCCTCACAAAGTTGTGCTCCATCCAGATCAGCATCTCCTGATTTATCATCAGTCAAAGTATTCTGCAAGTCTATACAGTACTCCATAACTGCTTCCCTTGGTACATCTTTAAGTTTTTGTATATTATAAAGAAACTGGAAGTGCTTGCTGTGGTGCTTAATTTGCCCAAATCTCTCATCAAGAGAATTAATACATACATCCAAAATGCTGTAAAAGCACTCAATTTTAAAAAAATTTGCAGGATCACAAATCAGATCATCCGGTGCTTCATAACAAAACATCCTTTTTTTTAAATTTGTCACACAAAAGGAGGAAACACAGGATCTATTTCCATTTCTAATGATAGGTCTTTTGCCTCTTCCAGTAAATCTTCAAACCCTTTATCAGAACGATAATTCTTCAAATAAGTGGTTGTGGATTCCAGAATATCTATAACATCTGGAAGATACATACTTCTACTTTGGAGAAGTGTGCTAACAAAGTTTATTCTATTTAAGATGTTGTACCACAACACAATAAGACACAAAAATTTAAAGTTATTCAGTTCTTTTGAAAGAGATTCAGCATCAGACTGTGCCATTGCCGTGTGAGAGTTCTCTCTCGAAATTTCAGAGAGAGCATCAAAAATTTCTCCAACCAGGAACCTAAATGGACGAATAGCATCTATTCTTGAAGACCATCTGGTGTCAGGCAAAGGTTTAAGCGTAAGTCTGCCAATGTGCTTCTTCAAGACATTCCACCGAACTGTGGATCCTGACAAAAACACATAGATTTTCTGCACAATAGAAAAGAAGGTTGCAACATCCCTGCATGACATGGCTGCATCATTCACAACTAGATTTAATGTATTAGCGCTGCAGGGAATATAAAAGGCATGCGAGTTTAAATCCAGGATTCTTTTCTGAACACCTTGGTGTTTGCCCTTCATATTGGATCCATTATCGTATCCTTGTCCTCTCATATCACCAACTGGGATCTTAAGTTTTTCAAGTTCAGACAAAATTGCCTCAGTTAAACCTTGTCCAGTTGAACTTTGGATTTGGATAAAACCTAGAATTTTTTCATCTATACAGATATCTGGTTCAGCAGTTGGAGACTCGCCTTCCTTGATGGACACAAATCGAACAATTATAGTCATTTGTTCAATTAAAGTAATGTCTGGTGTGCAATCAAGTATTATAGAATAATACTTTGCATTTTTCAACAACTGCAGAATGTGTTTTGTGATTTCTTTCGCTATAAGGCTGATGAGTTCGTTTTGAATGTCTTTCCCCAAATAATGTTGGAAAATGTCCTTATTTTTTATTCTTTTCATATGTTCCTGCATAACGGTGTCGAATGTGGCCAGCATTTCCACAAGTTGCAGATAATTCCCATTATTTTCACTGTATAATGTATCTCTGCTACCTTGGAAAGCCAAGCACTGGCCACCAAGATATTTTACTATGCTTATAAGGCGTTTAACAACATCTTGCCAATGTTGTGTTTCAGTTGCCAACAATCTCTGGGAAGCTGCAGCTATCATTTTTCCACAACAAAATCTTTGAGAGTTCATTACAGTCTCTTACAGCGACAAGATGAGAGTTAGTTTTCATGAATGGAAAGATTTTGAGATTAGTTTTTCCAGTCATTATAACCTCCACGTGTCAAACCTGTAGTGACTTTAGTTGCAAATAGCGTACAACAAAAACAAAATACTTTGTTCAATTTGACAGAATAAACCAGCCAGTTTCTAAAGGTTTCTTCTCCGTTTGGCAGCCATCACTTGTAATTTGCTTTAGTGAAACATCTATTCGCTGCATCTTTGGGGAAAATGAAGTTAGTTTTTTGCTTTGCAGGACCTTTCCTCACAAGAGCATCCCTTAGTGAGGTGGTGAGAACAGCTGGCCAATTAGCTGGATCAGACAAATCCAGTATTGCCAAAGAAGTAGATTGTTCCTCCTGCTGCAGTTCCTCTCTTTCCTCTTCTTCATCATTTGATCCTTCTGGGTCAATTGTCTTTTTAAGGTAGACAGAGTATGATGATGTGGAAGGTTGCTCATCATCTTGTTGTTCTGGTATTTGTCCAGTATTTGCATCATCTACATTAACAACCTCTTGGACTGTGATGGGCTGTTTTAATGATGATGTTGAAGATTCATCGATATTGATTTGTACGGATTCGCTTGCAACATTGGAAACTGGTTCTGATGCAGCAGTATCTTGCTTTCTCCTTTTGTGAGAAGTCAAGTACTCCTTTAAAGCTTCACATATCCGCTTCCCAGCTTTCTCTTTTTCTGCTTGTCTTTGTCTGAACACTGCCCCTGATGATTTCTTTTCCTTAAATAGTTTCGGCATTTTGAATATACTTTTCCAGCTATGCAAAGAATAAGAATGATGTTTAATTTCACACACACAATTAGGAATTATAACATTATAAGGAAAAGTGAAATTTCATCCATGTCTCCATCCACAGCTCAACCTGCCTTCCTCGCTCTGGTCATGTTCCTTGATGCAGATTCTTTCCTTCTCTGCAGCAGCCAGAACAGGCCAGCCTGGTCCAAACAGTTCCTTCCTTTCATTGTGTTCCTCTCAGAGTATCTGCTTTGCTTCTCCACCAACTCAATAATCCCTCAAAGTTCAAACCTGCTTGTTGCAGGGCTTGACAAATTTGTTTGCGATCTAGGAGCCAGCTAAAAAAGTTGGGAGCAAGGTTAAAAAAAAATAAAAACCAACAACTATTTTTAAAGGGACACTGTAGTCACCAGAACCACTATAGCTTAATATTCTGGTGTCTAAAGCCTGCCCATGTAAACACTGCATTTTCAGAGAAAAGGCAGTGTTTACATTGCTGCCTAATAACACCTCTAGTGACAGTCACTCAGATGGCCAGTAGAGGTGATTCCTAGTTCAGTGCTGCACAGTGTGCATCTTTACGAGTAGATTGTCGCAGTGCAACGTTTTGCAGCGCATTTACAATAGACTTCCAATGCTTTCTTACGAGAAAGCATTGGCTTGGCTGAAATCATCAAGATTGATTAACTCAGCCATGAAGGCAGGGCCAACCATGTTGAGACCAGCACAGTGTTTGAAAAAAGGTGAGTAAAATTACCTGTCCCATGAGATCGGAGGGGGGTGGTAACCTAAACACACACACACATATTTTGTCATACACTCACAAATTATTATTATTTTTAATTTAAGCACACCCAGCCTCCCTACCTTTGGGAGAGCTGGAGTGGATTATTTCACTAGGATGCGGTGTGGCTACCCTCTATTCTCCCTGTCCTTCTTTCTCTGCTTCATTGCATGCTGTTTAGTGATGCTCAGGCCGGAGTGACGTCATATTACAGATGCATACATCACTAACCAGCATGGGAAGAAACAAAGCAAGAACTGCAGGAAGATTAGTGCTCCATAGTCCCTCGGCCAGCCGCATCTGGTGAATGGGTTAACAAACACCCAGGCACCAGGACAAAATTCCTAGTCTAGTCCTAGAATTTGTCGAGCCCTGCACTAAGTGATGTACTATTTCCCGACCTGTTTTGTGTTGTGATTACAATGCAAAATCCTTAAACATTTACAAAAATAAATACATTTAAAAAAAACTAGAATTACAGACATAAACATACTAAATTAAGCCTTGCGCTCAAATTCTCACTTCTCCTGTACAGTATCAATGACCATAGTACACATCAGCCCCAATACAGACAATACATCACAATGTACATTTAATAAAATTTTAACAGGCAGATGAGCTAAAATACTCATACTAAAAAACCTCCAGTTATTTAAATGTACATAAGGATTTGGAATTGTATGCAAGTAGCTTTTTTTCATTTTTTTTTTAATTATAAATTACACACACACACATTTACTGCAATTTTCACAGTGGAATTAATAGCTTAGCTGTGTACAAAGTACATAAACATTAAACAACCTACCCACCCTGAAAATACAGCGAACAGAGTGGCAAAGGATTGGGGGATAAGGTATTATGGTGAAAGACTGACACAGGTTGGGGACAGAGCAACTATCGGGACAAGGTATTAGTGGTATAGAGGCTAAGAGAGGCATGGGATTACTGCCCTTTGCAGGTAGTTCTGCAATGTAAAACATTGCAGTTCCAGAGAACTGCAGTGTTTACATTGTAGCACTGTCTGCCCCAGTAGCTGTCTACCAGAAAGCCACTGGGGGCGCTTGCGGAATCGAAACAGACTTTTGGTCTGTTATCTGATGCTGGACGTCCTCACGCCTTGTATGAGGACCTCCAGCGACAGATTTTTCCCCATAGGAAACCATTAATTCAATGATTTCCTATGGGGAGGTCTAATGCGCGCTCGACATTTGTTGAGCGCACAGCATTTGCTGCGCATACGCATTAGACCCCGCTAGGCGCAATGCTGAGATAAGGTAAGTAAATAAAGGGATTTAACCCTTTATTTAAAGGGGGGAGGCAGAGGGATCAGTAGTGCCAGGAATACAGCTTTGTATTCCTGGTACTACAGTACTACAGTATCCCTTTAAGCAGATACAGTGAAGCAAGACTAAACAATTAGGGACCAAGTGAAATGGGGCTTGTGTGACACAGTGACAAAGGAGTGAGAAATGGGATGCAGAGGGACAAATGATAATGGGGGATTTGTGGACAAAGTGACAAGGAGTAGGAGCCTGTAACCCCATGTCACTCTGACCCCTTAGTGCCCTGACAGGGGGTACAGAGTACAATTCAAAAATTAAATATATATATTTTTTAAACTTACCCCATTCAAGTGCTGACAGCCAGGTCTATAGTGAGGTGGATCTGAGGAGACTGCAGTCTGCAGACACTCGAACACTATGGGGAGCAGTCTAGCAGAAGAGGTCAGTGATCTCCTTCCAGGTAAGTCTGCTGTCTCTGTCTGCAGGACTTGGACAATATGGAGGCAGGGGAGAGGGAGCGGGCAGCGGAAGTCTGGCCCCCTACTCACTCTAGGATATTGCACTCTGCCACCATACTGGAGCCCGCCTGGGCCTGTCTGCCTCCCTTTCCTCCCTGTCTCCCTCCCCTTACCTCATTGTCACTCCCTCAGTCCCTCTCTGCACTTGAATTGGGCTGGGTGGGCTCCACTGTATGATGGCCGCCATATTGGAGCCAGCAGGGGGAGCCTGTCCCTGCCAGCATCAGACCGCAGGGGACTCTGGGGGAGGTGAAAGTCTCGCCCCTCCTGACATCATCAGGAGGGCGGCACAGCACAGACTTCGCCTCCTCCGGACCGTCTGTAAAGGAGGGAGCCAGCCAGGAGAGCAAGGCAAGGGCAAGGTAGGCTGCAGGTGGCTGTATAAAAATCCAAATCCCTAGTAGGTGGAATTCTAGGGCTAATTCATGGAAAGATTTAAAATGGGGAATGACCAGTATGTCTGCTAGAACATTAATACCGATGTTCTTCCACTTAGACAAATTCATTTTTGCCATATTGTATTCTAGCAGGCTTATATTACAATTGTCTCTGAGAATATTCCCTCATGCTAAATTGTACTCCATCATAAATCTGGGCCAAAACCTTAATATTTCATGAGTAAAATAATGTTTCCCCCATTCATTCTCTGCAGTCTTAATTAAGTTCATCTTCTTTGGGTCAATCCATAATATTAGGGACACATCCGCTATTCCCAGCATAGATTTTTCAATATCAACCCATAGATCTTTGGGATTTGTTTTAAACCACGTAGAAATGTGTTTAAGAATAGCAGCATCGTGATATTTCTTAATGCTGGGGATTAATGCGCACCTGCTTAACAGTTGTTTACTAACAAGGGTCCGCTACTATATAAAGTACTGGTGCTGTCTAGGTGCATTACACCTGGGTTTTGCCCCATCTGTGAAGATACAGCATCTCTTCTGATCTGCCTGCTGAGCAGATGAAGGAGTTGGCCTTCCCAGCACGTTGGCAAAAAATCAGGATGGCCTTTAACCATGCATTTGATGCTATTTCTCCATATTTTGGCCTAGACTGAATCAGAGGGCTAAATTGCCATATTCTTGGCCTCTGGTGGTGCATCCCATACATGATACATGAGTTTGATACCTGAAATCTTCTCCTGTGCCTTGCTGGAACCTTTGGAGGTTCTACAGCAGGTGCATCTGTTACCTTTCACGATGCATAATAAAACTTCTCTGGATCACCATCCCGAACACAGGCAACAAACAGTTTAGTGTGTTATGAAAGCAGATGGTGTCTAGGCAACTTTACCCATTAGCATTGAGCTGCGGAGTTCCTATATCTGACTGTGACCATTTTTCCAGTCCAGGAAATCAGCTGATTTAATGTCATATAAGACCAATACAAGTTCTTCTCTGTCGGTTTGCTTATTTTATTTTTAGCATGTTAATATTTTATTTTTGTCATGGCTATTCTATTGTGCTGGTCTCAATGTTGCTCCAGTGGTTGTTTACTAGTCTAATTATGCAAGTTTATATACTCTCTAACGTTTTATATTAATTAAGAGAGCAAAAGGCACCAATAAAATAAACATAGCATAGTCACAACAATATATAAACATAGTATAATATTTACGTAATCTCTAACCTGTTAATGTGTTTTTCTTATTATTGCAATGCACCTTGTGATAACTGCATGACTTGTTTGTCATGTACTCTAGGGTTATCATGATATACTGTGTACTGGAACAAGCCATAAATATAAATGTATCAAAAAAGTTAAACAGTCACAAAGAGCTTTTTATTACCTTACTGAACTTAGAACATAGACTAAAGAGTTGCAGAAATATTAGGTTAATGTGCTAGAACTTAGCATTAGGTGGCCGAATGCAATATATGAATATACAGTGGCCCATCCTGGTACATGCAGATGTATAGGCCACAGTTTCTCTTTTCCTGCCTTTAAAGACAATAAAAAACTATAGGACAACTACTGACCAGTGACTCCCCATCTCCTCTCCCTCACGTTATGTTTCTAATGCACAAAGATGTTCACATGAAGTGGTCACTGCCTGGTGTGTGAAGTCATGAGCATTAGAATAGGTCAGTAGTGACAAGCAAAGTTCCACTCTGAAGACTAGTGTGGAAGTTGGGAGCTGGAAAACAAACTGCAGATTTCATAACATGGGTTAAGGACTCAGCAGAACAGTATATTTGGCAGCTGCAGCTATATGGGTACATTGTGGACTGGGGTGCTTTAGGGGCACTTGTTTTATAACACGTAACTTAATTCTTATTGTGCATTAAATGAGGAAGTGACAGTCCACTACTTTTTAAATGTATCATGTATGCATTTATGATTATGAGTGTGCATCTGTCTATGGGGATATAAACATGTGCTATATCTGTGCATATATGTGAGAGTGTAACTGTGTAT